TGCTATGAACATGTGATGTGATAAAAGTAACCTTCGAGACTAGGATAGCGACAAGTTGTTCACTATCATTAATCCCGGAATAGAAAACGACGCACATTCTTCACATTTGCATATCACTATATGATCGCACAACGAAATATGATTTTCGTATCACTAGGGTGAAACTCCATTACTTCATCAACCACTATATTTCACTCAATATTAATATCAATACGTATGCGACGATCCGTGTCGAATTTGTTCTACTATTCTCGGCAGTGCCATTCGGCCGGAATGCACTGAGCATTGTTTTTCTCAGCTTCCTGGCGTCCTTCCCCGAGGGAGTTCCCGTCGATCGAATACGCAATTTTTCTGTGATCGCTCATGTCGACCACGGAAAGTCGACTCTGTGCGATCGTCTGTTGAACATGACTGGCATTGAAACCAGAGGCGCGCAGTATCTCGACACTCTAGAAGTTGAGCGAGAACGGGTAAGTGTTGGAAATTTTGAGAAAATTTTGGAAATTTTCTGAATAAATTCACTCTACTGAGGAAAGCAAAAGTGTATTTCTCCAACACTGGTAAAGTTCCAGATTGGTGTCAAAACACTTTTTCAGGGCATCACCATCAAAGCACAGAGTTGTAGCATATTATACGACAACCCTAAGGACGGCCTCACGTATTTGCTCAACCTCATTGACACGCCGGGTAACGTGGAACTTCTGTGTGGTTCGATACATTGGAGTTTCACGAGTCGTGATATGAAAAACACTGGTGAAAAATATATCACCGCAAATATCGCGTTTTTCATAGAGTATTACGCCACTTCACGTAAAACGGGTTGTGAAACTCCAGTATGAGCTAGTCTCCGTGAAGACTGTTTTCCATGGGGGAATGATGTAGAATTGTTGGAAAGTGTTTAAGGTGACCATCATCAGATCGCCGAGAATATCAGTAGCCGCTCTTGAGCTTAGTTCGGGTCGATTCGACGTTATCAATATTTTCCTTTTCTCTTGCACTCATGTCTGAAATGTTACCAGACATGTAACATTCGAGTTGGACGTTCGAGTAAATGTCGAGGCAATATGTAACATCTCAGACATGAGTCGAACAGAGTGCAAGAGAAAAGGAAAATATACATCATGTACGTGTATATTCGATATATGTACATGACATTCGAGACAGTGTTGGAATTCATATGCTCACCTTCCTCAGCTGAGCTCAGGAATTCGGACAGAAATGTTCAGAAATCAACAATAATTTCCCGAAAATTTGAAATCTCTGTGTGCGCATATCTTCCTACAATGTTATCAGGCCATACAGACTTCCAATATGAAGTGGCGCGATCCTTGTCGGCTTGCCAGGGCGCTATACTTTTGGTGGACGCGCTACAAGGTAAGGGGAAAATTCTGAATCTAGTTCACTACAGTAAGCGCCTATGAGCAATCGCGAAATGTGGTAATCGTTAACATGGATGAGTTGCGTCGTTTTTACGCGGGGAAAATCGTCGAATAACAGCTCCTCGTATAAATTCGATACAGACTGTTCCTGAGGATGCTCCTCAGCTAAGATCAAATTTATGTAAAATAAATCAGAAAATGCGAATTTAATACAGCGGGTCCGAACTTAACAAAAGATGATGAAACTTTGTCAATTTTTAATACCATCATCATCTCGAAGGTCTTTGATGACCTCTCCAAATTCAACAAGTTATCGCAAGGTGATTCGCATAACAGTTTGTTAGAGGGACTTGCAGTAGGCGTGACCATTGATAAATAACACAATACCCCAACGTTAAGAGATAACTTGTTTGTTGATGACTTTGAAAATATAGAAACTCTTAAGCCTAGCTCAGCCTTAGAATACGGCCGACAAAGCCACACCACAGGAGGGAGACAGATTGGAACACAAGACATCTATCGCTTTAGCATCGTTCTGGCACGGTTTGGCTCGCACTGTGTAGTACGATTTAAACACCGCTCTATTTGCTTGGTAAATACTATTCAATGGAGTTTCACCCGTTTTACGTGGAGTGGCGTAATACTCTGTGAAAAACCCGATATTCGCGCTATGTGGTAGTCGCGAAATATATTTTTCACTAGTGTTTTTCATACCACTAGGGTGAGACTTCAATATCATGACACACAGAGTGGTACCAAAAAAAGAACCACCCGTTGTAATTTCGCGGCGAGTGACTAAGGTACCATTTTCCTTATGTAGCCGATTTTGCGTATGACGATATCTCAGTGCACAATACGAATATCAGAACCGTTCATACAGCGCTGGAGAAAGCTCGATGGTACGGACGTCACTTGCCGCGAAATTACGAGGGTGGACTCTTTTCTTGCACCACTCTGTATTTCATGCCATCATTACTAGATCTTCGACCAATTCACGGCATAAGTTGGGGTTGGTAGCAATTTCGCATTCGTTGTAGGGTACATGAACTACACTCTTCCGAATGGTATCAGCTCAACTGGTGTAGTATAGTAGAGAAATAATAAAAGCGAACGAACGCATAGACTGATGTCGAAAATGGAGGTGGTAGAGTATACAGGCACCTGGTTCTTTATGTCAGGAGTTCAGGCGCAGACGGTAGCTAATTTTTATTTGGCTTTTATGCAACAAGGCTTGGAGGTTATCGGTGCACTTAATAAAATTGACATTGAACATGTAAGGCGACTCCGAGCATATGTTGGTGATGACAATGTGAAAAATTCCGAGGAAATTTTCGGAGGTGATTCCCTGCATTCCCATTCGGATTCGTATGTGAACTTGTATAATTAGTGAGGAAACTGATTCCTGAGCTCAGCTGAGGGAAGCGAACATACTGTGTGGCTGTGCGTAGGTAGACCTGTCGAGTAGTAGGGCTCAATTGGCTAGTCTGATGGACACGGACGAATCAGCGATCTTGGGGGTGTCAGCGAAGACGGGGAAAAACGTCGATAAACTATTAGAGGTAAGAAAATAGTAGGAGTAGTTAACTTTGCGAGTATTTTTTATACT